AACATCCAGTCGTGGCCTGCAAGCATGTCTGACCTGTCAGTCTTCTCCAACCTCCAAACAATTCAGGGAAGAAAACTTTACAAGTGAGAAACTGTTTTTTGGTTTTTGTCTTTTCTGCATTGTTATACAGACAGAGTATTTGCTGGAATATAAAAGTAATATTGTTTTTTATTTTCTTTGTTATTTCTAATTTTTATCCTATCTTGTTATCCTGTTTAGAGGAGTGATTAGTAAAAGGTACAGTAAAGATTTCACATGCTCACATCTCTCTTAGAGCCTACAAATGTTCTGTCCAAATCAGTGGTGTTGGTATTTTTCAGGATGATTTTTTCAGGGGTAATTCAGCACTGGGATTGTTTGGTTAAGCTGGCCGTGGGCACAACTTTTTAAAGCTGGGAGAGGCAGCATGTTTTTGACATCAATTTGACAAAGAAAAAGCTCTTTTCAGGCTGGTCTCAAGCTTCAGTAAATGAGAGGAAAGCAAGATGGGGTACATCTGAGTACTTTTACCTGGGTTTAAATCCCGTCTGAAACCAAAAGCACTAAAGCATTAGAAACAAACCGCCTTCTCAGCTTTAATGAGTTCACATATAACTAAAGAATTTACCAAAGTAGATTCTACAAAATTGATACCACAGTATCAGTTTTGTTGTAGTATTTCCATACTACATACTACATGATGCATGAAAATACTGAATAAACATGAATATGTTTATTGGCTGTTTGTCTTTTTAAGTACATGGGTTATGCAATTTGAAAAACATGACATTCAGACACCGAATCACTGAATTCATATTGTGTCTAAAAGTTATCAAAATGAATAGATGGTGACAAACTTCTCGAAGAAAACACACTGTGAAAAATTATATTACATCATTAAATGTGATCAGTAAGAACAACAAGAAACACAAAGTGCCACACTGCTGGATTTTGTGCAAATACAGCTAAAGTGCATGCTTAATTATGTTTGTAAACCTTAAAAAATAATGTCTGAAATCATGTTCTTGAAAACTGCTAAACCTAAAAG